AGGCCTAGAGGTGGAAAACTCTGCTGCCCAGGGATGGAGGGGGTGGAGTTCAAAGCCGAGGAAGGTCATCATGTACTAGCATAACTTTACTTCAAGCAGGAAAGTTGGGAGAGAGAGGTGGTTTCAAGATTTAGGAAAGAAGAAGAGTTGATGAACATAGCACCAGCACCCTTCACACCCCCCCCCCACACACACACTCGCACATGCGCTTTTGGCCCATCTGCCCCTGAAGCAAATGCCTGGGACCCAATGGAAGGTAAGAATCAGTGTCTGGGCATTCCCTTGGTTGCACCTGCACTCTTTACTTGAACACTGAAAGTACCGTGCAGCCAAAAGACGTGCCGTCTCAGCTTTGAGCAAAAATATCCCTGTCTTCTTTAGGCTGGGAATAGGGTTTGAAGAGATGAAGAAAAAGGGGAAACGTGGAAGCCATGAGATTGAAAACAGAGACAAAAGACTAAGGTGAGTGAAACCAAAGCAAGAAAGGAACAGAGAAGAAGGTGAGAGGAGAGGAGGGAGGAAAGTGAATGAAATGGAAGAGATGAAGAAAGACTGAGAAGAGAAGAGACGCCCCCCAGAACCAAGGCAGCTTCCACTCCTGGCCGGGGCTCTTTTCACATTGTGCTACTGTCTGCACCTGTCACTAGCAGTGCAATGTAAAAAGGGCATTGGCTGGGCAGTACCAAGCAGCACCAATGTGGCCTCTTTCCTCGGACCCTTCCTCTACTTGTGCCTGAGTTAGCTGGATTTTGGTGTTGGAATCTGCCTCCCTTTAGCATCATGCTGACACTGACCTCAGCTCCGGTCATCTGGTACAGCCCCGTGTGAAAAAGTGATGTGGGTTGGTGCTACAAACAGCACACTTGTGGGTTTACTATGGGGAGACTATGGAGAGGACAAGGGTGATAGTTATACCATCTGTGGTTAAATGAGGGTCAAAGTCTTTGATGGTAGAAGCACCTCCTCTACAAGGTCCCTAGTTGTCCTGGAACTTTTATTTTAACTTGAGGAGGAGAAAATGGCCATCTGACTGGCTGATTAAAAGGGGACCTTAAAGATCCTCTACTCTTAAGGGTTCAGAATTGGAAGGGACCTCAAAGTCATCTGGCCAACCTGTATTTGGACAAGTCCCCTCTACTGCATACGCAACTAATAGTCATTCAGACTTTGAAATTGAAGACCTCCAGAGGTAAGGAATGCTAGCCACCTCATTGTATAGATGAGAAAACCAAGGCCACCAAGTTGGCGAGCCTGAGGGCCAGGATTCAAACCCAGATTCTCTGACCCCACAATCAATACCCTTGCAAACAACACTGAGAGTAATTCCTTCCATTCAGAAACCCTTCAGCCACAGGTGAGTGGTAATAAGGGGTGGATCCTCCTGGAAGGATCCCCTCCCCTCTTTTTAGCCTCTGAAATGTTCATAGGATTGCCCAGGACCTGATCAAATCTCCCATGATGCAAACAGGACAAGATTATCCAGAGGAAGCCATGGGATGAGTGTTACTGACTAGGTTGTGAGCACCTTGAGGGCAGGAACCACACCAAATTCTATTCCTGAATTTCTCATATTTGCTGGTACAGGACAAGGCATGTGATAGGTGCTGTATAAATTATTTATTTGAATTAAAATTCATTTACTGAAACAGACATGATTTCCATGACACCGGCAACCTAGAGAAGTCAACAGCTTGGACATGGTCTGCAAAAGCAGCTTTAGAACAGACACAGATAATGTCACATGGACCAGAAATCTTAGTGGCAGGGGGTGAAATTCACAGAGAGATAAGCATAATAGCATATAACTAAAATGAGCTTCTGAGGGCATCTCCATCTTCCTTTACAGTTGAGGAAATTGAGGTCAAGGCATTCTCACTTCCCAGTGTCCCCAGCCCCTTGGGCAGGCAGAATCCAGGACACTAGAGAGTTCCAGTTAGATCCAGGAGGCTCAGCATGTAGGGCAGCAGCCCCTTCCTGCCCAAGTGCTTCCGTTCCATCCTTCAATGCCCCTCAGTGTCCTCTCGGGCAGCTAGGTGGGCTCTCAGGAGCAATGTCTCTGCGAGGCATGCTTCATGCTACTTATGTCTGTCATAATCTTGCCATCCCTTACTGTCCTCACTCCACTTCTTTTCTTCCTCAGCCTTAAGTACTGAATAAAAAGAATGGGTTTTGCTTCATTTGGTTTGTGGGAGAATGTAAACTGATGAAGACTTTGAGCTCCTTAATAGCAGGGCCTCTTTTGCCTTTCTTTGAATCCCCAGCATTTAAAGCACAGTGCCTTGGCACAAAGTAGATGCTTAATAAATGCTTATTGACCAAAGAGCAAAGACCAAGTGGGTCCCGGAATTTTTTGTGAAATACTTAGATTTATGTTTGAGGTAGGAATTGAATGAGATGACTTCCAATATGCCTTCCAACTCATCACTCAGACTTCATGGTTTTGTGCTCTATATCTTCCCCCAAGCACTTCAGCTACCAAGTAGAACATCTAATGTACCCCAGTGATGCAAGGGGTTAAAACTGACCAAAAGCGACCTGTGGTTGACTGAATCCCAGTGATACTACAACTTTGAGCCACTCCCTTTCAATTCTGCTGATTGTGGGTAGAATCTTTACTGATCAATTTTTTTTTTAATCTCAAATAGTGTCTATGAGACTGCTACAGGTAGCTGAGTGGCAAGTGAATAAGCCAACGATAAATAAGGAAGACCTGAGTTCAAATATAACATGACCTCAAACATGACTTCATTAGCTTTGTGAACTTGGACAGGCAAAATAACTTCCCCGGGTCTCAGTTTCCTCATCTGTGTAAAAATGGGATAATACTAGCAACTACTTCCCAAGGTTGCTGTGAGGATAAAATGAGGTACTATTTGTGAAGGGCTTTACAAAACTTAAAGCACTATATAGCTTATTAATATCCTGCGAATCAACTGAAATCAAGAAGGATCTCTAAGCTCAGATCACATCATATTCCCAGACTTGAAGTCAGGTACACCTGGATAGGGGAAGTCACAAACACTCCCACCTCCAGCACGGAATGCTCGGACTCAAACTGACCATCACAAATCATGAAGTAGGCAAAATTTCCCCAAAAAACCCTTGGGCCAGATAAAGGTCAGAGCTGGGTTTTCCACTAGCAAAGGAGTCCTGCTGCCCCCTGGTGGATATCAAGGGAAATCCGTGTTTATAAGCCCCGTCAGACAAGGAGCCCGCCTCTGGTGTGGGTGTTACGATAGAAAGGTCAAACCTGCACTCAGCTGTTTTTTTTTTTCCCATTTTTATTAAAAATAAACTCAAACACTTTTTAATACAAAAGTTTCGTGCGCTGGTGGCAGCCACAGGAAAATCCGGCCTGTGACACTGATTTTCCACCTCATTCCCAGTTGCCTGAGTCCCAGGAAGCGCTAGCCGGAGCCCGTGTGGCCCCCTGGTGACAAAGCCAGCTGGGGAGGAAAGTCACGGGGGCAGCCTCCCCCACCCAACCCAATGGCAAAGATTATATATGCAAAAGTGCCTCATTAGTGCCAAGGTAACCTAACAAGTGACAAGTGAAATGGAAATCCCAGTGATCCTTCTGTGTCTTCCAAGGACTTGGGATTGAGGTCTTCTCTGCCTTTCTGCTTCAATCACATTCTGAAGCCTTTAACTCCCAGAGCTGGAGGACGGTCTCGCTCCAATCACTGAGGCCAACTCCTACTACTTGCCCATGGCCTAGGACCTGCCATCGTCCTAGACTGGGCTCTGCGTGTCTCAGTAGCAGAGTTCTTTGCCCAAGCATATGGAGGCTATGCCAGATCTGAACCCCTACCTACTGGAAGGAGAGGTTCCACCCTGCCAGTTCCCAATGTCAAAACACCCCAAGGGCAGAAGTATCTGAATTCTGTGACTCTGGAACCAGAACCATTACCCCAACTTTTTTTACCCCCCCATTGCCATCCATTATTCCTGTCCCTTGAGCATCCCCCCCAGGCTACCCCAGACCAGCCCAGACCCCTCTTCCAAAGGGGGCCTCCATAGGGATGTGGGAGGGTGGGGCTAGACAGAGCCGGGTTTTCCCCAGGGGGGCGGGGTGGGACAGTACTGGTGCGAGGATGGACAGCATGTCGAGGCCAGGGGCATGGTATGGGGGCAGGGTGTGGGGCATGCGGATGGGGCATCCTGCCTGAGCCCCTCAGTCCCAGCCGTTGTCCTTCACCATGTGCGACATTTCAATGATGTACTTTCCCTCCTTGTACTTCTGGCTTGTTTCAAAGGCTTGCTCCTGGGAGAGCGGGAAGCAGTGAATGGAAGGTGCTCCAGTATTCCCTCCATGCCCACATCACCCCTTCCCAGCACCTTTGGCCCTATGGCAGCAGGTAATCCCCCGGACCATCAGAGCCTCAATGGCATGTGGCTTGGGAAGGCAACGGGAGCCTTGGCAAGTTTGGATAGGATGGGTGGCTCACCTCAGGGAGCAGGGGTCCTGTTCCCAGAATACTCACATATTTCCAGCCCAGGGTGGTTTTGCAGCTCTCACAGAAGATGTCAGCCACAGAGTGGAGGCCAGTGAGCAGGAGGCGCTGTTCAGCTGGCCCACAACCCACGTTGACCCTGTCTCAGGAAACAGGAGGGCCCAGCACAGCCACGCAGAGGGGGAGGGGGTCTGTTACTCAGGTCAGTCCCCTGACCAACCCATAGGGATCCTCTCTAGAAGGATCTAACCCCAGAAATCTGGAAATACCTTTTTTGAGGCCCACCCACCCCTTTTTGGTTGATCCCTGGGAACTACTTTCTCCAGTGATGGGCTTTTAGTACCTCAGCCCTCCCCATGGGCTAATTCCTGGGAGGACCACAGGCCAGGCTCTTCTGCTGTGAGGGTACAAAGAGGGACCTTCGTCCCACCGCTGGATAAGGGAGTTGCAACACCTGTTTGCTTCCCTCTGATTGCTAGGGGGGGACTTGACCCTGAAGCCCCTTGCTCAACAGGGAAAAAAACAAGGAAAGAGGGAGACTCACACAGAGTTAAACAGGTAGGCCCGGCCATGGCTCCCCTGGAAGGACTGTGGAGACACAGGATAGAGAGTGACCACCAGGGACCCCATGGCCCCACCACCTGTTCCCCCTCAATGCCACAAATGAGGGAGGAATTTTTGATCAGGACTGGTCAGCTCACTCCTGGTGATGTTCATATAGGTGGGTCCTGGCTGGGGAAAAGCTACCTCACTGTTTGTAGGGGAGGGGAGAAATTTGGGTCCTTCTCGGGCATACCTTGGAGATGAGCTCATCATGCTTGGCCAGGTGTGCCCGGCAGTGAACACAGCTGTATGTACGATGACACCGAGGCAGGTAGCTGCGGAAGGTCTTGGTGGGGAGGCAGGCAGGGCCCGGGCCAGGCTCGCAGCTGGGCATGACGGGCTGAAGGGCAATGCCCTGGCGGGCTGGGGGGGCTGGCGCCGTGCAGCCCCCACACAGACGATCGCAGGTGAAGCAGCGAAGCAGGTTGGCTAGAGCCGTGTTTCAGGACAGGAGAAATGTGGGGGGGCTGCCCAACCAGGGCCCCCCCAGACGAGAACCAGATAGAAATGAAGGTCACCTGGGAAGAGGGGAAGGGGTGTGTAAGGAGAGCGCTGAGGCAGTTAAGAGCCTCTCCCGGAACGGCAGGGGGATGCTGCCACTCTGGTTTCCTGGTGACCATTCACCCTCGCTTGCTGTTTCCTTCTGCCTCCAAGACTAGCCCTTTTCTAGAAGAGTTTTGATTTTTTCCCTGTCCCCTTGATTCTAATTCTGCTCTGGCACGTCCAGCAGCAGTTCCAGTCTCCAGGCATGGGCCAGAGAGTCAGTATTCGGGGTGGGGATAGTGAGGCTAGCAGCAGCCTCCCCGGCAGTTTTCACTGAGGGCTCTACAGTAAGACAGAGGATGCTTAGGAGCCCCGTCACAGGCGAGTGTCTTCTTGGTTGTCCATTCATCAGGGCTGCACCCAGGTGCAGACTCGGGCCTCTTGAAAGTTGGGATGCTTAATTTCTTTTCGTGGTTCCCATCTTCCCATTTTCAATCCACAACATTCCCCACAAACAAACACCGTTTCCATGTGAGAGTGGAAAGGTCGTGCCAAGACTTCGAGAAGATAGGATACGTGCGTGGAGAAGGCTGGAGGGGCGGTTCAGTGCGCTTGGGGGGCGGGGTGTGGCGCGGCCGCGCACGGGGACGGGGGGAGTGGCACGGCACGCTGTCGAACACACGCACACAGCTTTCCTTCTTTCCCACTGTCTCATGTTGTCGAGTTCTTCTTTCACCGCTAGGAGGAAGAACGTGGCAGCTCTTGGCTCCTCGGCAGCAAGGCTCACCTCTGGGGATGCAGCGCTCTTAGTGATGGAGGGACCGTATGCTCTGCGACTTCTCTTTCTGGAGCATTTGGTTCAAAAGTGCCATTCTTTTTGGTCTGAGTGACTGATGTCCATCATGTACCCAGAAAACTGGAAAGATTCTCCGCTCTGTCCCCACAACCTCTTCCCCCTCCCCACTCCCCACACAGTTATGGGATATTATGCACAGAAAATTGGGAAGGGTAAATAAAGCCTTCATGACATCCTTCATGATGGATCCAGAACTCTGGTTCTAGGAAGGCTTGTTTGAAGGCCAGTTGTTTGAGGCTAGTTGAAGTTTCATACAAAGGAGAGGGTCTCATCTTTTTAAAGGTTATGAAGTAAGACCACTTCCATCTAAAGCCCCCTTTCCATGGCCCATCTTGATCTGGAGGGTGTCCTGGAGTCTCCAAGGCTATGGTATCTGAGTACAAGCTTTGGCAGGTTCTACCAAATCAGAAAGGTTTTGAGTACGGCCCTGGTGAGAGACTTGTAGCTCTTTGCTGTGTCAATGTTCAAGAAGCACATGACCAAGTTAACCACAGGATAATGGCTTTTTTGGCCACAGAAACTCTTAAAGACCAGTCACTAGATTGTAGAGGGGTCTTAACACGCCCTGGTGGACTGAGTACCAACAAAATGACAGCTCTTTGAAGTACTGAAACAGGGACAAGCAGAAATGACACTGTAGGAAAGTAAAGAAGTACATTACTAGAATACAGAAGGGTTCTCTAAAGAGGGATTTGGAAGATGAACACTGGCTTCCAGTGAAACTCCAGCTCTATACGGGTGGATAGTAGGAAATAGGGTAATATATGCTCTCTGTAGGCAGACTGTGGCCTTGCATCTCCTTAGTCTCTTCTATGCCCTTTTCAAAAGGCCTGACTGAGGGCTACTCTGGAAGTACAAGTTGCTTGGAAGGATACAGGTAGTTATTTGGTGCAGAGAAAAGACTCCAGAGCAGAATAGGGTTCCCCTTACCTCAGGATAGTGCCTCCCACTTCCAACACCAAATACAGCCTTATCCTTCAAACTGCCTCCTGAAGCTTTCTATTTTCCCCTCCAGGATTCAGAGTTCCCTACTGATTCATAGATCGTTTCCATTAGGGGCTCTTCTTTCACTACATATGATCCAGGTAGGAATATCGGCTGTTGTATTCAGGGTGACATCGTACTCCAGAATGGTCCAAATAGCCTTAGACTTCAGCGCCTTTTATTGGACGTCTTTTCTATTTCTCCTTCATCTCCTTGACTTCAGCTCTGCTGCCAACTGTTGTCCTGCTCCTGGAGATCACAAACCTGCAAGCACTTTGGTGTGCCCTAGACCTTCTGCTTTAGTCAGTCCCTTCATAACCCCCGCCCCCAGGAAGGTGGAGACAAAACCAAACATCAGAGGATAATGGAAAAAGTGACAAGAATAGGGATGGGGAGACTGCATCTATTATCGCCCCTCTCAAATAACAGCAAGAAAGCAGGTTGAAAACAACAACAAGAGAGCAAGCCAAGCGGTGGGAAGAGGATTTTCTGCCCTAATGTGAGATGGGGCTGGCCTGGAGGAGGTGGGGAGAAAGGGAGGGAGGGGAGGAGGGAAGGAATCCAACCACCCCGATAGCCTTACAGGAGCGCTCTAGGACCAGATGCTAATCCCGTGCCTCATTGAAAAAGAAAGGGGGGGGGGGGGAGCACAGAGCGCACAATGGAGCTTCTCGTCAGCCCCGAGGTCTCGGCACCCCCAGCCCCCCTCCCCAGTTGAATTCTGGAGCTTTAAATCATTCACTCGCCCCCGCCCCAATCGCTTGGAGTGCTGTCCACTCGCTTGGAGAGGCCAGAAGCTGGAGGGTTTTTTTCTCCCTAGCTGGCCAACGATCTCATCCGCCAAACAATAAGCATCACCGATCACCCCCGCAGCGAAAGTTGGAGGAGGGGGGGCGGGGGAAGAAAGCCTGGGGAAGATGCGGAGCTGGACGGGTCTTGTAAGATAAGATGCCCAAAAGAGAGGCAAGGGAAGCCACGGAGGAAAATGAAGGGGGCGAGGGAGGGAGGCAGGCAGGGAGCTAAGAGAGGACAAAGGGCGGCTGGATGAATAATGCATTTGCAAAGAAGATCAAAGCGCCGCAGAGCTAGGAAATTTGAAAAAAAAAAAAATCCGATCGGAGCTGCCCCCTCACCTTGAGGTCTGCTCCAGAGATCTCCGTATGTATATGTCTCTCACTCTTCTCTCTTCCTTTTTTTTTTTTTCCGCCTTCGATCTGGAAGGGGATGTAGGTCCCAAAGGGCCTGGGCCCGGGGCACGCTGGCAGGGGGCCGGATCGAGCGCTGGGGGCCGGGGGGTAGGGGTTGGGGGGGGTCTCTCCTGCTCGGGCTCTGTCTGTGGGTGAATGTGGCTGTATGTTGTGGAGCTGCCTCATAACACTGTGAGTCATCCAGCCCCCAGCCCCCCCCCTCCCACGTCAGAGCAGGGCTGGGAGACACAGGGGGCGGGCCGGGAGGGAGGCAGGGAGGGGGCAGAGACTGTGGGACCGATGCGGGGAGTACAGCAGGGTGGCAGGGGATCAAGAGGACGAACTGGCTTGTCCCTAGGAGCATCATGGCGAGAAAGGGAGCTACTTGGGAATTGGGGAGGCAGAAGATGAGACGCGTGGAGAAAGCGAAGCTGGTCAGAAGAAGACAGGGTGACTGAGGAAGACAAAAGAGAAAAGGAGAAAGAAAGGTGGAATGAAGGGAGGGAGAGGAGAGAGGGGAGAGGAGAATGCAGAGAGCAGTGCCTACTTACACTCACAATGATCAATTTCCACATTTCAGTCCTGACACCAGCCCTGACGCAGGGCAAAAGAAGGGCGGACTCCGGGATTAGGCACAACGAATTGAGCCCCAGGCTCGGTAACAAACATCTCCAAATCACCGAGAGCTTCTGTCGGACACTATTAATCTACTAACCCCTTCCCAAAGGAGTCACTAGGAAAAAAAAAAAAAACAAATAAACATTCCAACTCTTTGCACTGATGATCCGGTCTAAGGCTGAACATCTCAACTACTTGCCACCCTTCATCAGCCCCGTTGACAATTGCTAACTCTTAGACTGATGGTCCGAATTCTTTTCGAAACTCCAGATTTAACCTTGACCAAGCTTTTGACCTGAATCTTACGAGATAATGTATGTAAAATGTTTTGTAAACCTGAAAGTTCTATTTATGAAATAATAGTTAACATTACCGATTTATAAGATGTAATCTCAGGCCAGCCTTCTCTCTTTCCCTTCCCCCCTCCCCACATGTATATCACTCTATGTATGTATGTGTATATATAACACTAGATTCGGATAGATATATATAACATACATGCATATGTGTGTGTGTATATATATATAATAGGTATGTATAATATGTACCTCTAGATATAGATACATAGACATATTATTCCTCTTCACATATTGTATTTTCAAGCTAAACTGGCCTACTTTGCTGTTCTCAAAACTAGGCATTCCATCTATTTCAGACCAGGCCTTTGCTCAAGCCACCCCCAATGCCTAGAATCTGCTTCTTCTTCACTTCACCTCCTGGATTCCCCTAGCTTCCTTCAGGTTCAGCTCAGGGGCCCACACCTCCTAGGAAACTATTTCTCATCCCCTACTTTTTAGTGCTCATTTCTTCTCAAATTGTCAAATTTACATATATCTGTTTATATTCTGCATTCTTCTCCTCCTCCAAGTAGAATGCAAGCTCTTGGAGGGCAGGGATGGTTTTTTATTTTTGTCTTTGAATTCCCAGTGTCTGGAACATAGTATGAGCTTAATAAAGTATGTTGGATTGGATGCTTAGTGTGTATCCAATCCAGGCAAACAACGACACCCCACTCATCACTGAGCAACCTCAGCCAGCGCTGGAATCCTTGGATCAGAAGATTTCTCACTAAATGCCCCCCAATGCATTGCACTATATATAGTAAGCGCTATGCAGAAGTCAGCACCAAAGATAGACCCTGCCCTTGAAGAGGAGATTACATTCTGAAAATGAAGTGATACACTGACATAAATGTGCAGAGAAGATTGCTTGTAGCTAGTTTCATTTTTTCTCCTCCCACATGTAAGTACTGAAGAATTTTCAGGTGGGGGAAAGGTAGAAGTAATAGGAAGCATGACTCTCTAGTAGTAATAAAACAAACAAAAATTCCCATTATTTCATTGGGAAAGTGACCCCAGAAGAGGAAGAATTTAAACTAAATTCCAAAAACAAAAAGGAGGGGCCCTGTGGTTAATTAAAAAATTAATAGCTGGTCTTGCAACTAGAAAGACCTGGATTCAGGTGCCTCCTCTAACACACTAACTGCATGACTCTGGGCAAATACTTAACCTCTCTCTCTGTTTTAAGCATCTTTGTAAAGGTCAGTGAACTTGTTTTTAAGTGTTTTGATAACTGTATTTCAATATAGGGCTTCTAGGTGGAGTAGTGGATAGAGCGGATAGAGCCAGCACCTGAAATCAGAAAGACTCATTTCCTGAGTTCAAATCTGACTTCAGACACTTACTAGTTGTGTGACCCTGACTTAACCCTGTTTGCCTCAATTTCTTCATCTGTAAAATGAGCTGGAGAAGAAAATGGCAAACCAGTATCTCTATGAAGAAAACTCCAAATGGGATCACAAAGAGTTGGACAGAAATGGGGGGAAAACTGACTGAACAGCAAATTCAGTATAGTTTCCTTTGTAATTCTATGTATTTTATACATTTAAAAACCTCATTTCATAGGCTTCAACGGACATCCAAAGGAATCTACAACACAAAAAAGGTTAAGAATCTATACTCTAAGACTATTATAAATTGTAGAATAGGTGCTGACCTGCATTGCTAGAGGGAGTAACCCATCTGGAAATTCCTTATATCCAAGAAGTTGAAGGTCCAGTCCCTATCCCCCATCCAAAAAAGCAAGCAGGAGGTAGCTTGATGTGGAGTTGATAGAAGAAGTGGATTAAGGGAGCAGCTAGGTGGCACAGTGGATAGAGCACTGGCCCTGGAGTCAGGAGGACCTGAGTTCAGATATGACCTCAGACACTTAATAGCGAGTCACGGAAGCTGACAAACCCTGGAGGAAGAAGGACCTCCAGGAACTATCCTTCCTGTTAGCTGTGGGGAAACAGTGAAAAGATGAGGAAGCTAAGTAACCAAACTTTACTCTTATCTGAATAAGATTAATGCCTTCTCCAAGCTTGAAGCTATTGGCTCTAGGACCCACCCAAGGATAAAGTCCTTCTCCTTGAAAAGGGAGGCACCCTCTCCTATTTAGTTTAGATTCTCCGGAAAGAGCTCCATTGATTCCTGGAAAAGAGTGGTCCATAAGGGTTGAGATAGCAATTTACTATTGTTCAAATTACTGAAATGCATACATATATAAATATATACACATATACATATATTTACTACTACTCTATACACCATAGATACATATATACACGATAGATATGGCATAATATACTACACACACACACACACACACACACACACACACACACACACACACCCTTCACATATTGTATGTTCTTTAGAGGCATCTAAGTGGTAACAGTTGAGTACTGGGCCTGGAGTCAGGAAGACCTGACTTCAAATCCAGCCTACCATACTTATTAGCTATATGAATGTGGGCAAATCACTTAAACTCTCTTTATCCCAGTTTCCTCAACTGTAAAATGGGTAATAATAACAGCACCAACCTCACAGGATTGTTGTGAGGATAAAATCAGGTAATATTTGTAAAGTACTTAGCCCAGCACATGGCAGATGCTATATAAGTACTCATTCCCTTCCCTTCTTGAATATTAACCCAGACAATATTTTAACAACTCTTTTCCTTGTTCAAGATTCTTAAAAATGTTACCTCAAATCATGCTGTGGTAGAGAGTCATGTTGGAGGGCATGAGAAACTATGTTATTTTGGATATCTCTTTTCTCCAAGGTAGAAATGGCTTGAATACTAGATTAATACTAAATAAAATTGTCAAACTTGAGCCTAAAGACATTAGTATTAATATTTTATTTAATATAACTGACAACTGTATGACAAGATGATCTGGTCACTTCATGCATAATTAAGTGGTTTTGTTGTTTGTTTAAATAAAGTTTCTTTTGCAAATAAAGAAATAAAATTTAGAGTAAAATAAAGACTTCAAAACAAACAGACTAGTAGTGGTTTGTTAAAAGAGAAAAAAACAAGAATAAACTATATATGTAGTGGAGTTCTGGAATGATGCCCCTCCAATTTACAACAGCCAGATGAATTTGCAATTATCAAGGCTTAATTCAGTTCAGTGGTACAGTGGATAGAGTGCTAGAAGAAGAGACAGGATAACCTGGATTCAAATCGCACTTCTAAAATAATTGTCATTATTATTAGTTTCTTGAAAAAACAAGTGCAGGAAAAAATGCTTTTTGCCCAGATTTCAATGTGCATTTGATTGGACACCCTCTAATATTGGCCCAGTTGTGTGTGTCTATCTAGGATAGAGCACAGATGGACAATGAGCTGTTCTCAGAGTTAAAAGAATGAAGGCAGTTTGCCTTGCTTCTCAGGAATTGCATCCCGCTCTTACTGACCCCAAGCTTCCCCCAAGCAAAGGCACATCTTTTCAGTACTAATATCTACCCTTTGTGTTGCTGTATGGCAACATAAAGGGATAAGAAACACCACTGTCCTTGAAGAATTAAAGATGAGTGTTACACAGAGATCAACAGAAAGGAACTTGACAGGTGTGGGCTGGCTGCAACACCAAACCTATGAGGAACTCTGCCAACAGGAGCAAAGGATGTCAAGGAAGTTTTGGAGGAGAGGAAGAAAAGATGGTCTGTTCATGCATAAAGAGTAAGGGTGACAGCTGACCAGCCAGAGCGCTCTATTGGTGCGCTGGAAATGTCAGGAGAAATTGAGAATGTCTCCCAACACATCGGCTGTACCCATTGCAGCAAACTTTAGGGAGAACATGGGCAAGCATGGATAGGATTAGATCTGTTTCATTTAAGGGAACTCTGGAATTGATGAGATCACAGACCCATAGGAAAGTCATTGAATTTCACTGAATTTCATCTCAGCATTCCTCATAAAATAGGGATGTTAGTCCCTGGTATGCTTACCTCATGCCTTTGTTGCAAGGCTCAAAAAAGGGGCTTAATATCAGTCAAGTGCTTTACAAACTTTAAAGCACTATCAGTTAGCTTTATTAATTAATTAATTGCTTAGATTTTTTTTTTTTGTAAGGCATCTCAGTAGGCCCTGGAAAATACAGAGACAGTACAAAGCA